AGGAATAGGGTGGTAGATGGATCTTGAAGGTTGTAGAAGGGATAGATTGCGGTAGCATAAGTCGGCTCCGCTGATCGTAGAATAGAGTATGGGGATATCTGGTGGGTAGGCTTGTCCTCCAGTAGATCCGGTGGCCTGGCTGCGTAAGTGAAAGAATCAATGGCAGGAACGACGCCAACTTACAAGATCCATGTTCTAATAGAATGATCCGCTGAATCTGTCAGCAGGGTCGTTCCGTCCGGGGTCCTGTGCAAACATAAGGTCAGTAAATATTGATCATAGGTCGCTGTGTTAGAGACTTACCATTCTGCACTCTTGAAATAACCGAGATCGGTATCTTGATCAGTGGATTCATCACTAGAGATTGCCGCAGATTGACTTTGAACCGTTGATGATGAAGTCGATGAGAGTCGCGATGAATTGATTGGTGATAAATATCTCCCACTGTGTCGTTTGGTTGATGCCACGCATACTGGCGTCCACTCTTTGACATTCTCGTTAGCCATAACGACGAATACCGCCGGATAGACTGGGCAGTTGTCTTTTCTGGAAATCTTAGATGATGACCATTTAATCAACGGTTCATTTGACTTCAAAGTTCTCAATAAGACCAGATTCGAAAGGAGAATGAATAGGTCGAGTAGGACATTGATTGGGTCAAAAGTCCGCGAGCTACACAAATATTTCGGCGGTCACAGGGATGGCATCTCAGTGAGGTTCATAATAGGATACAAATTATACTATGTAGTTTCCAAGTATCGAACAAAAGCCATACATATGAAGTATAAAAATGAGTTAAACGACCTTTGCTAAGGAGGAAAGATCGGGTCGGATAAACAAAGTACCGAGAAGCTTCGCGCATTCCGGAAATCGCATTTGCGCAGCTTTGTTCCTGTTGAGGGGGCCCATTAATAGGTTCCATTTTCATTCAAGCATTTGAAGCTCATTGTCATATTCTCAAACATGTTTGCTCCCAAGGCAGCAGCGCCTGCCGCAGGTGGACTTTCTCTCAACACAACCTCCACCAATTCTTTGTTGTTAGTGCTCCCTCTCATCTTTGTCTCTGATTACACCTATCAGACTTATTGCCTGATCCCTTGCTCTGATTCGCTTCGTTTTCTCTCCCAATCCCTAGTTATTCGCATCTTCCACGCTGGGATCACGTTGATCTCACACAGAAAGAAAAAAAAAAAGCTAACCGCAACCTCCCATCAACAGCGGCGGCAACACAGCCACCCCCACAGCTACCCCCGGCGCAACTAATACCAGCAGCCTCTTCGGGAACGCTGCGAGCTCGACCGCACCTAAACCAGCAGGAGGATTGTTCGGCGCCCCGGCCGCAGGAACCACACCAGCAAAACCGGCTGGATCCAACATGTTTGGAGGTCAACAGCAGAGCGGTACAACCGGCAGCAGCCTGTTCGGAGGCGCAACTACCACAACACAGGCTTCTGGGGCGGGTAATATGTTCGGTGGGTCGACTGCTGGCGCTGGCACCAGCACGACTCAAGGAACAACGGGCGGTCTTTTCGGCGGTGGTACATCTACGGCTCAAGCTCAGGCAAAGCCAGCCTTTGCTGGACTCGGTAGTGGACTTGGTGGTGGATTAACAGGGGGAGCTACGGGAGGAATGTTGTAAGTGACCGCACTTTTGCTTGTCTTGTCTCATGGCTTATATTCTAATGATTTACAGTGGTGGCGGCCAGAGCACAGCCCAACAACAACAAACTCCAAAGCCTACCCTCTCTCTCTTCGGCCAGCCAGCGCCCGCACAGAATACACAACCACTACAACAGAGCACCGCTACCAGTACGGTGATTCCGGGTGTGAAAGTTGACGTCAGCAATCTCCTGCCAACCACCAAGTTCGAGAGCTGTGCGGATGAGATCCGTAGCCAAATCGAGGCTATTGACAAACATATCCTGAACCAGATGAAGATGTGCCATGAGGTCGGAAATCTGCTCCCGACCATCGAGCAGCAGGGTGCCACAATTCCTAACGATGTCGAATTTGTACAAGGCAAACTGGAAACCATGCAACACGCGCTTGAGAACGATGCCAGTGACATTGATGGGCTGCGCAGCCTCGTTACCCGGGATGCGGCCGAGGCCCAAGTCGCCTTCCGAGCCATTGATACGCTGAAACTCCCTCTACAATACCAGTCATCTGGCGGTGGTTGGTGGTCTGTGCAAGATCAACAGGTTCCAGAGCGATCTATGCGCTCAAGTCGCAAAAACACACTTGCTCTTCCCGACGGCGTGGAGGGTGACGCATCAACTGACGTCAATGGAATCCCCGTCAACCTGGTCGATTACTTCTCCCATCGTTCGAAGGAGATGAAAGAAGTTCTTACAAGATATACTGGGAACCTCAAAGAGATCGAGGACCATCTTCACGGTGTGGAGGCTACACTCAACCGTCAAATCAGTGACTTTGTGAGCTCCAAGTCTCGGGAGGGAGCTGCAGGAACACCCCGGTCTACCATCAGCGAACTTTCTGGTGTTCTCTCAGATGTCGAGGCTGGCATTATGGGTGTTGCCACTCGTTTGAGCAATGTATCGGAACAAGTACAAGATTTGTCGATTGGGCAGCAGTCTCTTGGCGATGGTCGGCTTCATCTGGGATAGATAAGAGAATTTAGCGAATTTGGTCTGTATTATTATGGGAGCTGATCTTCAGCATGCGAAACATGACATCCAGCAGTATATCTGTTACTCCGAACTCCCATTAGCCCCTTGTAGACTTGACCTATAGCCATCTATAATATAGACCGTAGGACGATAGCATAAGCTTAGTAAAAGTCTGATTATTTTAGCCAATCCTATATATTCAACTATATTAAATATTGCCATAAGGAGTATAGAAATGGTAACTGCTATGTTGCAGCAGAGGCTGAGTAACCCGTCGCACAGTCCGCCACTCTTGCCTGATCGCCTCCTTAGCGCCATTTCTAATCTCAACCTCCACTCTTCTGCACATACATCAGCACCTCTATCCCTATTGAACACGCGTTCGAAAACCTTGAATCTCACCTGAAACAGCGGTGAGAACGAGGTAGTATATCGACACCGATTCCCATGTTCATTCGATGAAGATTGCAAATCTCGCCATCAACGTCAGCGAAATTGCGTGATCACCCTGAATATTCTGGGGGAGAGGAAGCGGGTCGCATTCCAATGTCTATCAACCAATGGTCTCGTCCCCGTCTCTCCATTGTATTTGCCTGAGGTGATTCATCTGGGAAATTGCGCCATCTCCGTGAACTCCGGGGCATGCGAGATCCGTAATCCAAAATGGCGTTATCCGGGGTTTGACTCACTGCTTGACTGATAGCTTGTATATAAATAGTTTCTTCCTTCTTTATCCAAACTTACTTTTATACTTTGATATCATTGCTTCACTATCCTTGCACATTTACATCCGCATTTTCTTTACAGCAATTGGATTGGACATGGCACCATCATTAGAAGAGTCCGTGGTGACTGTGGCCCCAACTGTGGCCAAGTTCACCGTTCCTGTCCTTGCGAAGGACCTCGCTGGTGACAACAAATTTGGCTATCAGCCCGGCCGGACACCAGTAACTCGACACGACAACTATGCACACGAAGACCTTTTGCCTTCATTTCCAGACATCCATTGGCCTCCACTTGAATACACTCCCTACGAGGACAAGGGACTGCGAGGAGATCCCAAGTTCCGCAACCTCCTGAGGGATGCCACAGCTGTCTTTGATCACAACCCTAAGATTGGAACTGAAATCCATGGTGTTGATCTGGCAAAGCTCGACGATGCACAGCGGGATGACCTTGCCAGGTTGATTGCATACCGAGGTGTTGTCTTTTTCCGCTCCCAGAAGAACTTTGATATCGACGCTCAACGCCAATTGGGCCAATACTGGGGCAAGTTGCACAAGGTAAGATATTTGACATGAATTAATATGTGACTATACATACTAACAGTATATAGCACGCCACCACATCCGTTCCTCGAAAGCCAGGTCTCGAGGATGTTCATGTCGTCTACACTGGCGACAACTCCAGTGACAACCGTGCCCTCTTCACGCCCAGTTTCTTATGGCACTCAGACGTGACCTATGAAATCCAACCACCATCTTACACATCACTCAAGCTTCTCTCTGGCCCGCCCCGAGGAGGCGGTGGCGATACCCTTTGGTCCTCACAATATGCTGCCTACGATGTGCTCTCATCACACATGCAAAACTATCTCAAAGGCCTCACGGCCCTCCACTCAGCCGACATGCAAGCCAACGATTCCCGGGCACTAGGCCGACCAGTGCGCCGGGACCCTGTCACTACTGAGCACCCACTCATTCGGACGAACCCAGTTACCGGCTGGAACGGACTTTTCTTCAACCCAGGCTTCGTGAAGAAGATCATCGGTATCCCAGCGACAGAAAGCGACGCTATCATCCGGTTCCTCACCGATGTGATCGCTACGACCCAAGAGATGCATGTCCGCTTCTCATGGAACGAGGACGATGTCGCGCTCTGGGATAACAGATCTACCAACCACAGTGCTTCTTATGGCTTTACACCGCACCGTCGCCATGCTGTGCGTGTTGCAGTCCATTCCGAGAAGCCTGTGCATGAAGAGTCTGGGAAATCTCAGGAGGATGAACTCAATGCTTTGTATGGACTGCCGGCAGTCAACAAGGATGGGTCTCGCCAGTCGAACTATAACGACTAGGTTGGCCACAAAATGTTCATGGTAGGAGTTTATTCTTTCATAGTAATTAGCGACATATCAAAATCAGCGAAATATCATCATTCATTTTTATCATTGCATCTGCCTTGGTCGCACAAGTATCTCCTTGAAGCTTCTCAGGTATATTTACTCTATATCTTGTTCCTGCCTAATTAGGACTGTTGTCCCTCGTACCTTCCCAACCCATATCCTCCACAACTCCCCCAATTCCTCTCTGCCTCTCTTCTCGTAAACAACTCTCGCCACCTCTCTCTCTCCGTCTCATTTGCCGCAAAATGGCTTCCAGCCAACCAACTCTCCTCGAGTACGCCAGATTCTATAATATCGCAGAGGAATCGACTCGATATTGTCCAAGCAATTATGCAGACGACACATGTGAGCCAACAATCCCCACTCCCCCTGTTGAGGGTCTCAACCCCGAACACCCGGAAGATCGTCTCAAAGAAATCGACCGACGCTTCTGCGCCGAGCTCATGATGGAGAGGCTCCCAACTAAGCCCGAGGATATGGAGCTTCTGAGCGGATGTCTCCAACTCCGGCCCTTCAACCGAAATATCTGGCGTGGGATCTTGCCTGAAGTGACACCATCTGAGCTTAATTGCGAGCCTCTTCTCCTCACAACCCAGGATGAGAGAATGTTCGCTTCGTCTGAGTTTCATACCAATTTCGCGCAGAGTCCGACTCTATCGTCGCCTAGCCCTTCGGTTCATCTGCTTGTCCCTAGTGGTCCTGATGTTCCCGCTGTCCCTATTAACACGCGTGATGTCTTCGATCTCTACAATTCGGCGATGGCCTCCCAGTCAAACACCCTTGAATGTTTCACTATACCTGGTAATGTGACTGCCGAGTCCTCCAATATGACCACGACATCCCATCTTGCAGGAGATGCCTTGCCCCCCATCGTGGGACCCTCGGGGACTGTGCATCAATTTGTCAGTATTGAGTCTGACCCTGTTCCCTCTGTCTCGAGTCAGGGAAGTGGGGCTTACGCTCCAAGTGCAATCAGCTCTGAGGTGAGTACTCGGCAGATGATTATTGATGGAAGTAGTTAATCAAGACAAGCACCCTACCGAAAGTGAATTCAGTCCATTTGTTTTTTATAACACCACGTCCCCGCCTCCATTATCCGATGTCAGTTTATACAACAAATCACAACCCACCTTCTCTATTGTTTCTCCGAATCTGACCAAAGAAAAAGGTTTCTCCGTTGGCGGAGTTGACAGCCAGAAAACGCAAGCATACACAGATTTGAAGGGAGAGAAAGGAACGAAGGCCCTTTTGGGGCCTGTGGCGGCGGATGCAGGCATGAATTGTGAACAGAAGGGAATTGTGCCTGGTTCTCTCAGTACGATTTGTGAAGACACGCTTGCTGTGTCAAATAGTGTCTGTTCGAGTTCCTCAATAACTCGGTCAGCAAATCATCAGAACATCACTCAGCTAGCACGAGCTCAGAATGCAAACGATAGCCATGTTTCCTTCAAAACTTCTTCCGAGCAGAATCCCAATATTATGGCAACCCATACTTCGTCCGTGGACAGGAGACACTCGTGCGCCGCTCAAGCGGAGCAGTTTCGCATGAAACTGGGCTACAAGCCGCAAAAGGTCCCCTTCAAACCTCCAGGTGATAATTCTTCCAAGGATTATACAACCTCGGGATCATCCAAACCAGTGTTTGGTGGCCTCGGGTCTTTATGTTTGTTCATGCAAACAAGAGGTAGTGATGGAGGATATGTTACCTCGTCGCATGATCCATCTTCCCATGATCCATCTTCCCTTTCCCTGTCAGGATCCACAAGAAGTGGACAAGGCGAATTCTCAAATGCTTCACCGGGTGACCGCCCCCGAGACTATGATAAGGATCCATCGGATGCTTACGGCTTACCCGGCCCTGCCATCTCCATGCAGGAAATGGTGACACGATCGGCATTCAACCCGCCACCGATGTTCTTCCTGTCTACTACCCTCCTAAGAACCCACCTGTCTGTTATACGAGATATGGAGGGGTGGCCAGGCAATCCACCCAAATTGATCTATAGGGAGTATGGGGACGATCACTGTGATGCAGAAGTCATTCTGGCACCTGATACTGGGCTTATCCTGACGACCCTTCATGAACTGACCCAGCGGTATCTTCCAGGGCATGGACCAAAGGATGAAAGGCTCAATGGAATCCGGGGAATTAACTCTCCACTCAGGGAAAAGATTTTCCGCCTCATGCATCGCTATGCGCTTTTGGTGGTTCTCATCTGCGAACCTGACAACGCAGACGTCAGCAGCGGTGCGTTTTTCTCTTCGATAAGGGACATCGGGTCGCTTGCTGGATTTTGTGACAGCCAGAATGAATTGTCTAAGACATTACTGGTACCTATCCCAAACCACTCGACATCCATTGTATTGTGGTGTTTCGGTATGGGAAGGCTTCGATATGAATTGTTTCCTTCTGAAGTCATAGGAAACATCATCGAAGGAGAGTCAGAATATGAAGTCGCTCTCCGCAACCTGGGGATTAATCCATTCGCGGGGCGCCTCATTTTAGACAACATTCGTGTTAGTGGTTTCAACCAATTTCCAGGCTTCGACCTATATCCACTCCCCCTGCCTTCTCATGTTGCCAACGCGAGCACCGATTCAAGGGCTTTCGATGTCTTTATAAGTATGACTTCCTTGGAGCGGGATATGGAATACGGTTCTTTTGTAGGCGACAGGGTGATGAACAGGGTGTCGGAAGCTATCAAATCAATGGCGTACATGAACTCCAATGAGACTGACAGTGAGGATATTCACAGCACTCAAATCAGTCTTCATTAGTCGTCTGGGCGCGTGGGCTTTCATCACCAAGATACCAAGTATTGATAATCAGATTCCGTCTATCAAAATCATACCTTTACTTCACATCCTTCTATCGGTCTTTCCTGGGGTCTTTTAGAATATAACGGCTGACTACCCCCCAGTATTGTTAGTGGGGCACCTTTGATACGAGCTATTTCTAGACCGTTAAGAGACATATTGATGGCAGCTGGTTTCTACCGGCGAAAACCTGACACTTGACTTCCAAGATATCTGAAAGACCATACTAACAGCACCAAATAACTAAAGAATTTACAATTTATACCAAAAGACATAGAGAGGAGATGATCAAGTCTGCAATTACCGACTACTCACCCCGGCATAAGCACCAGGAGAAGCTAAGTCGCAGTTTAATTTAAAAGTACAATGGACAAAGACATGCAAGACCCAGGGCCAATCCAGCGCTTCAAAAAACTCATGCATGCAAAATAGAAAGACAGGCCAAAACAGGAGCCAAACTGACATGATACCTAAACAATCAAATGTCAAATATCATCCAGTAACAGCATCCCGATTCGCTATTATTTTTTGTTTTTTGTTTCTTTTTTTTCTTGGTCAGTGTTCTTGAGATCGTTGAGAAAGGTCGAAGCTCGTGACGTCGCGTCGGTATGATACACGTCAGGGGTCTTCCAAAATCCCCATCGCGATTTTACAGCGAAATGGGGGTTGGTGTCGACATGACAGAGAGGGGGTTGGATGGCGGCGAAACAAAATCGTATAAGAATAGTGTCTTGGAGATTAATTTACTCCTTGATCTTGGCCAGGATACTAGTGGGGATGTTAGTGTTGTTCTCGGAAATCGAAGGGGGGGGGGAGGAAACATACTCGTGATCACGGAAGAGGGTGTACTCCTCCTCACCGACCTTGATGGCGTTACCACCGAACTGAATAATATGTTAGCATATATTATTCGTGCATTTGCATCCACCGAACGTGAAAATGCGAGGGAATTGCCGGACCACATACCTGGGGGATGAGGACCTTGTCACCGGCGCTGACGCCCATGGGAAGACGCTTGCCGTCACGGTCAAGGAGACCGGGGCCAACAGCAAGGACCTGAGCCTCGTTCTGCTCCTTGACGGCAGCCTCGGGGAGGAAGATACCGGAGGCGGTCTTGGCCTCGGGCTTGATGCGCTGGACCAGGACGCGATCCAGGAGGGGAGCGAGGGACTTGATGTTGCGGAGGACAGACTAGAAAGGTATTGAGTTAGTTATTGTGTTCTTCAATGATACTGTCCAATTGAATTGGGAATCGCGCGCGTTGCGCGGGTTTTCGGGTATCCGGGATCGGCTTGAGGGAAGAAAAAGTTGGACGAGGTGCTAGTAGCTCTCCGGAAGTTGGGGAAATAGGGAATTTCGAGCTGTGAAATCAATCGGGATATACCACATACCATTGTGAAAGTGAAGGAGATTCCTGAGGAGATCGTGAAGTTGAAGATGGGATGGAGAAAGGAAGAAGATGGAACTGGTCCGGGGGAAGAAGATCTGGACTGGAGAAATTTCCAGAATGCCAAGACCGAACCATGAGCTTCTTCCGAACAGCCTTTTCCAATGGACTCTCTACTCTCTAGGAACTAAATGAGTTGGAGTCTATAATATTTATCTATTGATGCTTATGTGTTTACTGTTGGTTTTTATTGACATGTTTGGTACAGCTGTTCGTCTAGACGTGGTTGTAGTCCTTCCCCGACCTACAGCTTTACTTTACACGGAAGAAGCTTGAACTTGTAAATTGTCCATTGTCATCGCCATTCCCTTTGTATGCATGAAACGCCATGAGATCCCATTATTCCAAGGGCGAACCCGAAGTTACCATCACAGTAATATGAATTCCATATCAAACTACCATCTTCGGCCCCGTCCTCGGCCCCCGTAACCTCCTCCACGTTGATCGTATCCGCCGTAGCCCATTTGGCCCTGGCCCCCTTGGTTGAATCCTTGGCCCTGGGGCTGACCCCCGAAGCCAGGTTGACTCTGCTGGCCGCCAGGGGGCATCATCGACTGGGCGTGTTGCATGAAAGCCATAGGATCCATATTAGATGGGTCCAAGCCCTGGGACATCATGCTGGCCAGCATGCCCTGCATCATATCGGGGTTCATATCCGGCATGCCGGGCATGCCGGGCATGGGCGGCGCAGCACTAGCTGGAGCAGCAGGGCCCGGTGCACCAGGCATCGGGGGCATTCCCATGCCCATGAAGGCCTGCATATCGTCCATCTGTCTCTTTTGGCTGCCGACTTCCTGTCTCAAGCCTTGTTGCTTGAGACAGTATCCTGCCCATGTAAACTCATCGAATCCATAGTTGAAGTAGTCCGAGAGATCTGACCCGGGTCGGCGCCAGGGCTTGTCGTCAGATGGGAAGTCAGCATCCATGTCGGTAGACATGATCGGCTTCCCTGTCATGGGATGGACGGGGTTTGCATTGACATCGATGGTGGAGCTGTGAATGGCTGGATAGGCGGACCCTGGCTTTTCTGAGGAGGGTCTTGCGGCTGCGGCTGCGGCTGGGGCTGGGTGTCCAGGAATCGGAGTTGCGGTTTCATATCGAGGAGTCGCGGATGGTGTCGCAGATCTTGCTAGCCCGGACGAGTCTGCGGAGGACGGCCGTTGTGGTTCTTGTCGTAAACTTGTATGGCGTGGGTGGGAGCTAGAAATATCAGTAAGAGTGCAGGGAGGGCGCTGGCAGCTAACTCACGCCTCGGGAGCTGGTGCGCCTTCGGGTGCTTCTGTGATAATATTGAAGTCATCCTGTAGATAAAATTAGTAACAAAAAATTACAGGTAAGTGCAATAACAGTGCGTACATCATCTTCTTCTTCCTCTTCTACCTCATCGTCGTCTTCCATGTAATTGCTGTCCTGCGGTTGGCCTGGAGCTGCATTTTGTGTGTGGTTCTGCGATTGTGTTGTCGGCACCGCGTCGACGGGATCATAGAAGTCGTCTTCTTCTTCGTCCATGATTTCTGAATTTCAATTCGACGGGTAAATGCTGCAGAAAGTTGTATCAAAGAGGATCGAGATCGAAGGTTGCGCGCATGGGAAACCGGGTTTGTCTTGTTTGCAGCGGTGTGCCTCGCACGATTTTAGAGTTGAAACTTGCGAAAGAGATAATTGGAATTGAGACACCAAATGAGCTATATAGATAGGTAATTGTAAAGATATTCTTCTATTTAGAAAGTGAACGCTTTCTATAATCTACTGATCTTGCAGAATATACTTAGAACGCTGCTTAGTAGAAATTAAAGGTCACGTGCTGATCACAAGACGTCACAATCGCGATTCTCTCCTCTCAATAGTTAAGTATAAGCTTATATCTCGCAATCAACAATGGCAGAAGAAGAGGAGAGGGATACATCCACTCCACGGTCCTTTGCTGGCCAAAGCGTCTCCGCGGAGGAGATGCTGAAAGAGCAAACTGTCGGTCTTGTTCATCTCTCCGACTTTCGCAAGCGGCGCGCAGAAGTTCTAGAGCAAAAGGAGCGCGAGGCGCATGACAAGTCTCTGGGGCTACTGGTATCTGGTAATTCAAGAAGTGCAACTCCCTCCGCAGGCGATGTAACTGACGGGTGAGTCAAGAGCCTCGACTTCTATTTCCGTTCATTTGAGCTGATCGCAGCGCAACAGATCAACGCCTCCCCGGAGTGACGGTCCCGCGAAAAAGAAGAAAAAGAAGGCTCTTGCGAAAAGCAAGCTGTCATTTGGCGATGACCAGGATGAAACGGGGGAGGACTCCACAGCAACTACACGCGACTCAAGCGCATCACGGTCAGGTTCGAAAACACCCGCCGAGGATAGCGCGGCGCGACGCATGAAAGCAAACCCGAATGCACCCCCACCACCCAAAGCTTTGACAAAGGCGTCCTTGGAAGCTGAAGCGCTGGCTCGCGACACTCTCCGCAAAGAGTTCTTGGTCATGCAGGAGGCTGTGAAGAACACCGATATTCTCATTCCATTTGTCTTCTACGATGGAACAAGTATACCAGCTGGAGCCGTCAGAGTCAAGAAGGGTGACCATGTTTGGTTGTTTTTAGATCGGTGCCGGAAGGTTGGTGCCGAGATGGGCGTACGTGGTGCCAGTGGTGCATCCAAAGAGAAGAAAGATAATCGCCGAGAGTGGGCACGAGTCAGTGTCGACGACTTGATGCTTGTCAAGGGCGATATCATTGTTCCTCATGTAAGTTCACCCGGAGTTCATTGATCGAGCATCTCATCTCATATTCACACAGCACTACGAGTTCTACTACTTCATCGCCAATCGAGTGCCCAGTCTTTCCCGAGCTGGCGGTTTGCTGTTTGACTATTCCAACAAACCCCCCGCTGCCAATTCTAACGATAATCCGCTGTCCCAGCCTAGTGACGATCAACTAGAGGGCGCAGATAAGGATTTTTCAGAAACCAAGGTCGTAGATCGACGGTGGTATGAGAAAAACAAGCACATTTACCCAGCCAGCCTGTGGCATGAATATGAGCCCGGGAAAGAGTTTGAAGAGAAGATGACTTCAACACGGCGCGATGCTCAGGGAAATACATTCTTTTTCTAGCCTGGAAATATGAAAATAATGACTGTAATAGACGAATACCAAACATTTTCTGTCCGAGTTGTTTCATTACAAAATTTCCTTTTGAGGTTGACTAAACTAATAACCTCTCGCAAGGTCAACCCGTGACCTTCACTTCTTGCTCTCTTCAACTCCATCTCATCTCCAGTGACACCATGGATTTTTCTCTAAGATGCAATTCTCTCAAGTGTCGGGCAGAATTGAAAGAGAAAGCCGTGGTGACAACCTGCTCGTAAGTTGCTCCGTCGTGAATCAGTTCAAGCCAGAGGCTGATGTTTCCAGGCACATCTTCTGTCATGCATGCGCAGACAGCCTCGGGCTCTCCCGTCCAACCACCAGCAATCGGCACTGTCCTGCGTGTCAGACCGTACTTCTCAATCCAGATGACGCCGTCTCGACAATCTTGAATCCATCGGAGGACTACAAAACAAGCGTGTTGAGTGGGTTAGATCCGAACACAATCATGGAATGTGCTGGTCGTGCACTTGCATTTTGGGCATATCAAAGCACACAGGAGATGTCTGTCTCACTTCCCCAGTATCAAATAGTACCATGGGATTGTCCAAGGCTGACTCGAGCAGATTCTACCAGGAATACCGAGCGAAGACGCTTACGGAGAAGTACGCCAACCTCAACACACAGGTGGACAAGGTCATCCACAATGCCAACACAGAGATCCTGTCACTGCAAAGCAAGCTGGCTGGTCCGTCCACTTGATTCCACTCTTACTCGAAGATCCAACTAATATCTGCACTGCAGACATGCAATCAACCCAAGAAGACCTTCAAAAGAAAAACCAGGAATTGAATGATATGTACCGCGATAAAAACAACAAACTCGCTCAGATGACCAATCTCTACAACCTTCTCAAAGCTCGTGCCATGCGGTCCCGGATGCAAACCGCAGCCTCAGACACGGTCTCCCAAGCTCTCTCCTCCCTCAATGCCCCTCCTCCTATTTCCGTTGCGCAATCTGATGTCTCCACGCTACCTTCTGCCCCAACTACTCGGCATCCCAACACACCCACTTTTCCCGTCAACCCAGACGGAGTCGAGCAGCTTCATCGGTACCAACGAAGCGGCACTGGAAGTTCCAAGAGGACAAAGACAAAGACACGTCGCGAAGCCCCAATGCCGCCCCCTGCTCGGCCAAACTGGGATGGGCGAAATAGTATGTATTGAACCACAGTCTCTAAGACATACTAACTAATGTGCTTCTGACTAGGCAGAGGTTCAGATCTCACTCTGCAACATCGTACTCGGCTCCTACGCATTTCTCGGCCTCCAACTGCCTCTTCTGAGCTTCCTCCTGGTGATGCTATTACGCAGCGGTTTGGGGGTTAATCGTTTACCTATTGGGTGAGGTATCTGTATGGATATGAAGCGGTTTATTTCTACCATTCTTTCAACCAGGACATTGATGTTGTATGTTGAAGCTCTTCAAACTTGGTATGATTTGATTTACGGTCACCAAGTGGAAGCCCTTATTTTTGCCCGCATAGTACTCGCATGACAATAAACAAACTCTCACTTCAAACGTGTATCGTATACCCAATGGCCCTTGCTAGTTTCGTAGATATAATAGGGAGAATGTGGGAAAGACAAGTCTGATATCTGCAACACTTAGGTCACTGGACAAACGAAGAGCATTGGGAGTAAACTCCTCTGCTGTTTTCTCCCTTCATATTATGTGCTTGTTAAGACTTGAAGACAGCCAGGGTCTCTTCCAGCGGAGCCTCTCTTTGCTTTCCTTTCCTTAAATCCCTGACTTCCGCGGCCCAGAGGGCAATTGGACTCTCAGAGCCCAAGGCAAGAAGCAGACCGGTCACCAACACGCTGCAAGCTATCCCCACCCCGTCCCATGTGCGCTTGTGAAGCTGCAGAACCAGGGAATTTTTAACCATCTGATCAGCCATCTGATCAGCCTGGATTCCGATGGGCTTCATAGAAGAAGTGGCATCCTGCCTGTAGGTCCCTACTCTCACCAGCGGTCATTTCTGACTGACTTGGTGAATGAGTTGATCTCCGAACTACACGGGAACAGCAACTGTGAATAATACAAATATTTCAAGAATATATGAGAGGTAAACCAGACTGAAGAATAACCTTCTATATTTCCTTGTTAATAACTAGACTTCCGTGCCGTCTCGACATACGAGAGGGGTGATCACCGCACTGGCCGCAAATGTGGCCGCTGCGGGGGAATCTCACTAGACATCATTATCAACATTAACGAACAACTCCCCCGAGACTTAGACCTCAGGGAAAATGCCCGAAACGGCGATTTTTGTCTTGTCCTGGGTTCCTCGCTGACGGTCACTCCAGCCAACGGGATCCCTGAGATTATCGGCGAGAAAAAAAGGGGCGAAGCTCGCTTTATGCAATCTCCAGAAAACACCCATTGATGGACTCTGTGATCTTCGCATATTTGCCGAGGCAGATACACTGATCAAGGTGGTGGAGAGGTTTGGTCTGCCAATCCCGTCATTCATTTTACGTTTGTCGTCAATGTGAAAACACCGGAAGAGGATCGATACCGGATTACAGTTACCGGTGTTGATAGTAATGGGACTCCTGTTACATTTCTTCAGACTGTCAGACTGGAAGGCAGTAGGCGTGTAACATGCCCGAAACCGTATGTGATTCCTGTGCGCGAATCGTTTCGGCCTGGTGCGCAGTTGAAGCTCGATCTTGAGTTTACGGGGCGTTACAATGAGCCGAATCTGAAGCTCGTTCATGAGGATGGCTTGTACATTCTTGAGTATAATCCCCACAATGGAGCCTGGGTTATTACGAGACAGGAAAGTCTCGCCGATGTCACGGACATTACTGTGGCCGACGTTGCGTTGCAACCGGACTCTGTCCCGGAGGCTCTGTCCTCACAGGTTGGACAGTATCAGTTGATCTCTTGATAGGGGTACTATGGGTTGCTATCATATTGTATTTGGTGGTAACCTAGTGCAAATCAGTTTGATATACTTGAAATCCCGAAATATCACCGTGGTCTCTACATACAACATCTTGGTACTTCTCGGATATCGAAGGGGACAAAGGCCCAGGTAGAGAAACTTCGACAAGTCCAATGTTTCCTTCAAATCTCTCCCTCGAATACAAACTTCAACACAAGGCCACCCCCAATGATTAGACTCTGCAACACAGGAAGGCTAATAAACCCTGCAACACTGAAAGGAACCAAAATCATCTGTTCCTCCGGCTTTTGCATCGCCGACCTGAAAAACCAAGGAGACGTAACCGCCAGCCATGTGATGACCCAGCAAAAGCCAAGTGCTCTTTGCCACAAAGCGGGCAGTTTATCGTTCTGGGGGGCCCGCGTTCGCTTCCAGAGCTCTATGACACCGTCTTCAATCATATAGCCGACAACGAAAGAGAGGAAAAAGGACATGGTCCCAAGTTCCTTTAGTGAAACGTTTCGCAGACTATCGATTAATACGTGGATCAAGCCGGAGAAAAAGAAAACGATGAAAACGTTGACGTATCGTTCCACGAGCGATCTAGGCAGACTGAGGACATCACGAGCGAGAAAGTTGCTAATCGACGTGAGGGGTAGTCGTAGCATCTGATGCCAGAATGTTCTATGAGAACCAGGGGAATTAGATCTTGTCAAATTAACAAGCATAAGAGCGACTCACCCCCAGAAATTGCGTAGTGTGTATATATCTGCCATTCTGCCAATGATCGGCGGGCTGTTCGAGGGAGAATCACCCAGGCTCACACAGATGATCGAAGCAACGCGGTAGTAGAAGCCGAGCAAGACCCGAGACACAACGAACCAAGCCACGAGGGTCTGTATAAACTGTTCTGTCCACTCTTGCCCGGGGTTATTCTGTTGGGGATCCGAAGAAATTGACCGTTCTTCGTCTGGGTTATTCATGGTTTGTTTCAAGGTCAATGCAGTGACTGTATCTAGAACTAGAAACTGCCAGACAGCGATAGCAGTCTCTCTAATCAAGAAGCGACCTCGCGGGATCACCTTCGGATCTCTCTTGGTGTAGTATTCTGGGAATGGCGGGACATTCTTCACTTGTCGAGGTGTATTGATCGCCCGTGTGCATGTGAGTAGTTGAAGAGCCTGGAATAGACGGGATAAAAAGCCTTTAGTATTTCCATTGGCGTCGACAAAGTCGCGCCCGGCTTGAGGGTGGATGAGCAGCAAGTCCATCGCTGTCAAGATGAAGGTTGCAGAGTTGCCGATGAGATTTGCCGATGGGTACCCCGGTTTCTGAGTAGGGTACATCATATGGAGTACGATCCCTATCATACATGGTATAGCCAGGTAACGTAGAGTAGACTGTTTGGGTGTTGTGGCTAGGACAACGGAGGGGATGAGACTCTGGAGAATGGCGAAAGCGAGCAACCGCCCGTGTGATTGATACTCCATGACTGTTTGGGATAAAATGAACCGAGTTCATTTGTTGAAAAAGTACAGATGAATAGGATTTATGTAAAGATGGATGGGAAGTAGGACAGTGCATTTTAAGTCTAAACTCCTTATAGTTAAAGTGAAATATATACTCCACTTCCCCTATAGGTAATCCCTCAGGTGCATTTATCCAGAAATCAAAGCAGAGGCGAATATTGGATATGGATTAAAGTCTGAGTGCAAGCCTAAGCCTAACTGAAATTGCCTGTGATAACGTATTTCACCGAGTGGTCCAACTAATCCAACCCATTAATCTTAAATGCATCTATTTCAAATAACGCCATTAAATATTCAACTAATTGGTCTATCTGGACATATCTCTCTTCTATGTCCTGGTAACCTGCATCCTGGTAACCTGCATATCCCACACCCCCGGGAGGTCGCGTACGTGGCTAAATAGCCGATTCTCTAGTTATACCCGTATACCGTATACCGGGACCGGGGGGAGCTTCACTTACTTCCTATTGCTGGATAATTAATGCAGAGACTTCTTTAACCAAGAAACCTTCTTCGGGGGGTATATGCCTTCGGGATCTAGCCCACTTTTACTTCTGCTTCTCGTTAGCGGCGCGTAATTCCTTATTTTCTTTCGCTGGTAGAATAGCGCTATACATTATAAGCTAGAAGCCTTCTATAAGTTAATTTAATGCACGATCTAACGGGCTAGGCGGACTTCGAGATCTTTTACGAAGTAGGGCTTTAACTAACGAAGCCTATCGAACGTAATTATTTCTCTATACGTAGTGTTTTTGGTGTAAAATTTCGACTTAATTCGCTCCCCCGACTCGGAAGGGATCGGTGTTCGAAGACGAATATTTAGCTTCGAGATCACACGATCGGGTGTAAAAGGTACTAGGCTAGCTGCTCCGAAGCTATGTTTAATAAGCTCCGATTTGAAGGCTTTAATTGGTGCGAGGTACGCTTCGAGGAAGTTAAGTTTATCGATATAGTTAATCCCGTTCCGCATTTTCGTTTTAAAGTCAAATAACCGATGTCGGAAGGCTATAAAAGGTAAGACGAGTGAGGCATATAGATCAGTACCTTATTTTCCTTATAGATCTATGTCCGTCGAGTATTAAAAGCTGCCTCCCCTTCGTACAAGAAGAATCAAGAGCTTTTAAGATAGCGAAGTCTAATTTTATTAAAGGTCTAACAGTTCGGGCTAACTTTAAATCGCTAGTTATATCGTTTCCAGAATCGGAGATATAAAAAAACGCCTTTTCGTAAGTTTTATAACCTAGTTTTCGTTGACCAAAAAGGGTAGTTCCACGCTATAGAAGATTCGCTATTCCTCGAATCGTAGAAGGGCAAGGGGCTACTCCACGAGAATCCATAGAGATAATTCATTTTAAAGAGATTCCTCTTTAATTCCTGTCAATTTCTTACAATTAGCGCGTGAAGTCGCGCGGTAAGGGGTGTTCTTAGACGGCGAAGAGTTAACTTTAGAGCTTCAAATCGACGTGCTACTTCGCAAATGGAAGTGATCTCTTGGTTTTTAAAAGCCCGAATAGCTAATAAGATCATAACCTCTTGCTTTATTGAATTCCGAGAGCTTTGAGAGTTTTGAGAGCGAATTGGTATGGTGGGTTGGACCACTCGGGGGTTTGGACAACTCGGTGGAATAAGTTACTGCACTTTGTATGCACAAAATTCCTAATTTGGGGGCAGGGGGTAATCAAGGGGGTTGGATATGCATATTAACTGGTGAATCGGGGCGTTCCCTTGGGTAATCTTTGAAGCATCACCCGTGGACGCCAATATCTTTAGTATCTATTCATCGTACTGTATATTGTTTGTTTTCCTAGGGGATTCTACACGTCTGGAAACCTCCGACGAAATCGTATATCAAGCGTCTACAGATCGCGTTTGGTATGTAACCTTGACGCTAACCCCAATGGATCTATGCATATACGCCCCGGATTAAACCTTTGTCCATCCTTGAAACTCACTTAGAAGCCTTTTGGTGTTAGTAGTGGACGGAGTCAAGATGCCGATCTTATTCGTTGGGGTGCCCGTTTGTGGTTGCCTTTTGTGTTACAATTCCATTGTGCAGGGATGCAGGTGGAACACAGCCCAAGATTTCTATAGAGTCAACCTATATTTGTAAGATGTCTTCGAGGTGAGAATCTGACCTATCACTTGGTTTGGACTCATGCATACAAGATAGACAAATGTTGTGTTCTCTGCGTCGATCCATTCGTGTATATATATATCACAGTAACTAGGCGAGTATGCATTAGTTGCCGCGTCATAAATAGCCCCAAGATCAGGGGAAATGCGTTAAATATTCGTTCCTGAATACGTACCAATAAGTGAACATCCTGCAGTTATTATAAAGTGTCGGATAGATATATGTGGAATTGAACAAGATATATACTTGGTTACAAAGGAAAAACGACCTTGCCTATATATCTACCTGTCAATATAAAAAGCATTTCCGATATGTGAAAAAGAGCACGCTCGCAACAGAGACATGTGCGTCTGTTGGGTAGATCATGAAGCTAACATGGTCATTCTATAGTCTTGTGCTCCTTACTAATACTTGCATCACTCTACGACCGCATCTTGCAACCTTTGGATTTATATTACACGCGTAGTACCATCTATGCAAGGACATTCCCCACAACTACCAGCTCCACATATAACACAGAGCAAGCTACACCAAAGCACATGGTATAAGTCTAGTAGACCAGCCCTAACCCAAGCATCACAGGCACTAAACCCTTCTGAATATAAGTCCAAGTTAGTCCCCGTTCGTCCGATGCTTATCTTGCCCTAATCTCGGGGCAGCGGAAGTCACGCCCACACCTCGGTATGATCCCCCCAGCTCTGGCACGGTCCCTACTTTATGGTATCTGATCGTGGGATCCGAGGTTCCTGTAAATCCGGGGAGCTTGTGTGGAGTCTGATGCGGGAGCTTGTTTTTTTGTTCCTGGATGGATTTGAGCTTATTCAAAATTACAGTATATATTTGTATTAATTACACTCGTATTTTTCGGCGGTTTTTTCACGCGTTCACTTTCACACATTAGAGCCGGACATGCTAGTACTACATACTCTCCGTATATATATACCCGATCTATTATGTTTACATGTAGAACAATTTGGGGACAATAAATGCCTCGTATCATATTATCCGACGGGACATCACATCTAAATCCGCCGGGAGTGAACATAGGAAAATGAAATCTAATCAACGGAGAATCATGTACGTCGGCACCAGAAGGACCGGGTCTTTTCGCCCGGGCGGGAATTAACGCCATACCCTCAGCAAAATAGGACAGACGCCGGGGTGACATCCACATCCGCAGACCTCCCCCGGAATCCCGCAAAAAACAAGTCATGTCATGCCATGCATTATACCACAAACCGATGCAACGGACACACGCTGCAAACAAACATCAAATAAGGATTAAACTGTTTATGCGCCGAATTCCTTGACGTCGCTCTTCTTGCCCTGGAGGGCAAGGGGGACGATGCCGCTGACGTGCATCTCAGGGCCGTAGACGTGCATGTCGAGGCCAAGCTCGATACCGACGGACTTGATGTTCTTAAGACCCTCCTGGTAGTTGGGACCGGCACGGCGGACCCAGATCTGGACCTTGTGCTCGTTGAGGACGGTGGCGACCTCGCGGATGGCGCGGATGACACCCTTGAAGGTGCTGGCCACGTTGGTGAAGTTGGCAATACCACCTCCGATGAAGAGGACCTTGCCCTCGGGGTGGGTGGGGGCACGCAGCATCAGGTCCAGCACGGTGCGGGCGTAGTTGAAAGTCTGGGTCTCGGTGGGGGCACCGGAGTACTCGCCGTAGTTGGCAAGCTCGCTGACGAAACCAGCGGAGGCAATGGCGTCGGCGTAAACAACGGAAGCACCGCCACCGGCGACGAGGGTCCACACACGGCCGCTGGCGTTGAGGACGGTCAACTTGAGGGAGGCACCGGTCTTGGCATCCATGTCGGAGATGAACTTCTCCTCCTTGCTCAACTCACGACCGAAGGGGGCGGGGAACTCCATTGGTGGGCCAGCATCGATGCTGACCTTGCCATTAGTCGAGGCGGGGAGAGGGGAGCCCAGGGCAGCGGGGCTGCGAGCAACAGCCCACTTGGTACCGCACTCGAACTCAGCGGTCTGGTCGAGCTTGGCGGCCAAATCCAAGAAGTGAACCTCGGCGGAGGTAGCGTCAGCGTTGGGGATAACAACCAGAGGGTTGATCTCGAGGTAGGTGAACTGGCAGTCAACGTAGACGGCGTACAGGCGAGAGATGAAGTCAACCAGGACATTGTGAACACCCTTGGGGACCTTGCTCAACAGGGTCGCGGCGATCTCCTCGTTGGAGGGGTATTGCTTGAGGTTGACGGGGATCAACAGCTTCTCGGCCTTAGCATCGACATCACCGACGTCAACACCACCCTCGTGAGTGAAGAGGATCCAGTCACCCTAGAATTGTACCATTAGCCTCCACATCCTTTCAATTGCGCTTGAAACTGCGGGGAAAGCTTACCTCACGGACGGAGTTGATGTTGATGTAGTATTCGGTCTCCTGAGGGTGAGGCACGAAGGGCTCAACCAGGAATTGGCGGAGAACACCAGTGATGGTCTCAACCTGGACATCCTTAGTGGCACGAGCCTCAATCCAGTCCCGGGCCTCAGTCCAGGTCTTGTTCAAGGCGAGCAGACCGCTCTTACCCCGACGCTTGATCAATTGATCGGGTTTGGCGACAAACTTGGCACCGGGGGTCAGAAGCCAAGGGAAGGAGACCTCAGCCTGGTCGAGGACATCCTTAACGGCCTTGTCATCGGGGAAGTGAAGGGAGGCGAGGCGGGCAGGAGGGTTGTGTGTTGCGGAGGCAGGAAGAGGAGTGGGCTTGATCACTGGGGCGCGAGTGAGGTGGTAGTTGAGGATGGCCTTGCCGTCGGCCTCGAGGATAGATTTGGCGGACATGATGTGATGATGTGTTAGGGAAATATGTGAGAGAGGGAGAAAAAAGAGGGGGATATTTTGAGCTGAAGGGAAAGGGAAAAGGTGGGAATTGAGGTGTGTACTGTAGTGTACGGCGTACAAAAAAAAAAAAAATGTGCTGGATATTACAGCGTACAACTCGGCAGGTCCCACCTGTTGAGGAACAGACTAGAGAAGATCCTAAGGTGGGGGGGGGGGGGGGGAGAGAGACTATGCTCTTCGTTGGGATTCTCCACAAATAGTACGGAGTACTTACGGGTACTTCTGGTGGCGCCACTCGTTCTACCTATTTTGAGGTACTTGTTGGTTCCCCGATACCGCTTTTTTAGTTGTTGAGAGAGACCGAATTCGGGGATTTATTACAATCCTCCGAGGGCTATCTATACGCCGATATATATTTTCATTATTTTTTATTAGTTTCGAACATACAAGCACCAATGGATGTATGTCCATTTGCATACATATGTAGATTTATTAGAAGAGAAAGATACTTCAAATACTACCAACACTGTTTCCATTGCAACATATAAATACACCCCTATACCAATACGTGTGGATACAGTATCGTCAGTACCCGGTACTTTGGGGACTGCCAAGTGTTGAGCTGTTCTGCGGATCCAGCGGTCTGGGACGAGCTGTACGGTGTATCTGCGAGTACTCCGAGTATCTCACCCCGCGGATTTTTTTCTCAACAGCTGCTTCTTCTGCCCCCTTCTCTTCTGTACTACTTCCTTTTCCCTCCTTTTCTCTATTTCCTCCTAATTTCACAGCGGCTTGTTTAACGCATAAAGTGAGTTACCTTTTTTTTTTCTCTTTCTCTGATCCATTGCTCTTCCGCATATCCACTCCCCTCCAAACCGCCTTCTTTACTCCAATTGCCTGCATTATCGGATAATTGCTTCGAAATCCAACTTGCATGCTAATTTCCATCTAGATTCATCATGCCCTCTACTCTCTCCCCCGGGAACGACGTGCAGTCGGCCAACGACAACATCACCCGCTTCGCCCCTCCTAGCCGTGCCCTCTCGCCCTCCCAACACAGCCTTTTCCACAACAAGACACGATGCTTCGTGTAGTAAGTGACATACTGCTCCTATGATCTTGGTATGAGACTAACTAAGAACTCAAGTGGTATGCAACCCCGAGCCGTGCAGGGCATGCTCGACTTTGATTTCATCTGCAAGCGCTCGACTCCTTCCGTAGCCGGTATTATCTACACCTTCGGTGGTCAGTTCGTCAGCAAGATGTACTGGGGTACCAGTGAGACCCTCCTCCCCGTCTACCAGGATGTTGAGAAGGCCATGGCCAAGCACCCCGACGTTGACACCGTTGTCAACTTCGCCTCTTCTCGCTCCGTCTACACCTCCACCATGGAGTTGATGGAGAACCCCCAGATCCGCTCCATTGCTATTATTGCCGAGGGTGTCCCCGAGCGTGTAAGTTCTGCCTTTCCCCGTATTATATCGAATGTACTTCTAACGACTACCAAAGCGTGCTCGTGAGATTATGGTCACCGCCAAGGAGAAGGGTATCACCATTATTGGCCCCGCCACCGTCGGTGGTATCAAGCCCGGTGCGTACAAGATCGGTAACACTGGTGGTATGATGGACAACATTGTCGCCTCCAAGCTGTACCGCAAGGGTTCCGTCGGCTACGTCTCCAAGTCCGGTGGTATGTCCAACGAATTGAACAACATTATCTCCCAGAACACCGACGGTGTATTCGAGGGTGTTGCCATTGGTGGTGATCGTTACCCCGGTACCACCTTCATCGATCACTTGCTCCGATACCAGGCCGAGCCCGAGTGCAAGATCCTTGTCCTACTCGGTGAGGTCGGTGGTGTTGAGGAGTACCGTGTGATTGAGGCCGTCAAGAACGGCACCATCACCAAGCCCATCGTCGCCTGGGCTATCGGAACCTGCGCCAGCTTGTTCAAGACCGAGGTCCAGTTCGGTCACGCCGGTGCCTCCGCCAACTCTGATCTCGAGACTGCCGTCACCAAGAACAAGGCCATGCGTGAAGCTGGCATCTACGTCCCCGACACCTTTGAAGACCTTCCCCAGATCCTCAAGCAGGTCTACGACCTCGAGCTTCAGAAGGGCAACATTACCCCCGCCCCCGAGCCCGTTGTGCCCAAGATCCCTATCGACTACTCCTGGGCCCAGGAGCTCGGTCTTGTCCGTAAGCCCGCTGCCTTCATCTCCACCATCTCCGACGACCGTGGCCAGGAGCTGCTCTACGCCGGTATGCCTATCTCCGATGTCTTCAGAGAGGATATTGGCATTGGTGGTGTCATGTCTCTGCTGTGGTTCCGTCGCCGCTTGCCCCCCTACGCCAGCAAGTTCCTCGAGATGGTTCTCATGCTGACTGCCGATCACGGTCCCGCCGTCTCTGGTGCCATGAACACCATCATCACCACCCGTGCTGGAAAGGATCTGATCAGTGCTCTCGTTTCCGGTCTGCTGACCATCGGTTCGCGCTTCGGTGGTGCCCTGGATGGCGCCGCTGAGGAGTTCACCAAGGCCTTCGACAAGGGTCTGAGCCCCCGTGACTTCGTCGACACCATGCGCAAGGAGAACAAGCTGATCCCCGGTATTGGCCACAAGGTCAAGTCCCGCAACAACCCCGATCTCCGTGTCGAGCTTGTCAAGGAGTTCGTCAAGAAGCACTTCCCCAGCACCAAGCTGCTCGACTACGCTATCGCCGTTGAGACCGTCACCACCTCCAAGAAGGACAACTTGATCCTCAACGTCGACGGTTGTGTCGCTGTCTGCTTCGTTGACCTCCTCCGCAACTGCGGTGCCTTCTCCCCCGAGGAGTGCGAGGACTACATGCGCATGGGTGTCCTCAACGGTCTGTTCGTGCTCGGACGTTCCATCGGTCTCATTGCCCACTACCTTGACCAGAAGCGCCTGCGCACCGGTCTCTACCGCCACCCCTGGGATGACATCACCTACCTCCTCCCCACCCTGCAGAAGGGTGGCGCTGAAGGCCGTGTCGAGGTCAACCTGTGATTTTGTTTACGTTTTGCAGCGCCGTCCGCTGGCATATAGTCCGTCCGTTCAGGGCGGTGGAGTTCGGATGGTTCATCCCTTGGTTTTTCTTTTTTTATGTTTTCTGAGCAGTCGTGTATATCGATGTACTGCGTTCATGTGGCATGACCAAGTTGACGGGTTGACACTCAAGAAGGGTGCAACCCGGCTACAGATCTGATTTAATTCGTTTTGCAGTAGATGACTAGACCTCTTTGGGAAATAATGAATGTGCCTTTGCCGCATGATATGCTTTTTCCAGTGTAATGTGTAGTATTCGTGGAAATATTCAAAGCTGAGCCATGCTGTAGTCTTCCCGGGGGCCAACCTTGGAAGGTTGTCCAGATGGGCCGCCCGATTAGGAAATATCCTTATCGCTTATCGATCGCAATCTTTTCTAGCCTCAATCTCGACTTCAAGATTCACCCACCTTACATTCTGTACCCTGCAAACCACATCTACACCCAGTTATCGTATAATCCGATAGAGCCATCCAGTACCTATCTGTACTGCGTCCAAGGCTCCGCATCATCTCAACGCCAATCCCAACCCAACAACACCAACCTAATACAACCACACCACCATGGTCCGCCTCAAAAACCGCTATCTGCTCGTGGACATCCTCTATCCAGACCCAAAAACCTGGCCCGCAACACCAACAACAAAACCACACAACCCCCAACTGGCAATCCACTCTCCAACCTCCGACGCTCTGACTCAAGGCTTCCTAGCCAAGATGATCCGCGAGTCCGTCGCGGAGCTATACGGCGACTGGGGAATCGGCAAGCTGGGCGGTGCCTCCGCAGGTGGAATAACGAGTAAGTTATTATATTCACCACATCCAACCCATCCATCCATCCCTACGGAACCACCCACTAAACATACTATAGTAAAATACCTCTCACCAGCAACATCCACCGCCATAGTGCGGTGTCCACGCGCCTCCTTCCGGCTTGTCTGGTCGGCGCTGACATACATGTCTGGCGTGCCGGAGCCAGCGAATGGCCCCAAACGCGCGGGGACGGGACGCGAGCGTGCGTGTGTGTTCCGCGTGATTCGGGTTTCTGGGACAATGCGGAAGGCTGAGGAGGAGGCTATTCGGAGGGCTAGGAGGGAGATTGTTAGGGTCAAGGATGCCGAGGAGAGGGGTGTTCTTGGGGGATTGGTTGGTGGGTCTAGTGTTGTTGATTGTGTTATGGATGAGAGTGAGGATGGGGGGATGGTTGAGGATGATTGAGATGATGTGGATAGATGTTTTATTGTACTCTTTTGTATACTTTTAATGAGATACCCCAGGTTTTGGTGCGTTAGGTTATGCATTGTTATTTCGGCTATCGTACATTTATCGTATCATATTTGACATTTGGCATGGCTGGGAAGTTGTTGGAACAGGATTACTTGCGGTGCACCCGCACGCCAGTGTCTGGCATATCCCTCTTCCACTTCTCCAGTTCCTCATCATAGTCATGTCCATCGTCCTTATCGTAGTCATCCTCGTCGTCTCCGCCATCCGCCGCACCCGTCTTCTCGACCTGGCTCGCCGCATTGCGCAAGCGAACTTCCTCCTCCAAGTCCTTCTCCTCCTGCTCATCATATTGATCCTTAGCATCCAACCAACGCTCCTGTACATCCCGCACGTCTGTGACACCCATGCCCTCTCGAACAGCGACTTGCCAGACAGTATCGTTGGCACCCTCGGCGGGACCAAAGGCATACCCGGACGCACGATCGATGGCGCGCAGGAGACTCATCATACTCTTTTTATCCTCGACGGCCAGCGTCTCGAAGGCAACAAGTCCGAATTCCTCGACCAGGTCGATGATAGTCTGGTTTAGCTTGCCGAATTTCTCGTGCGAGAATCGCGAGGACTCGCTTTCCAGTTCAGGAAGTAGGTAGGAGAGATCTTGAACCTCAGTGTAGTAGTCTAGGTTGAAAGGGAGCGGGGCATAGTTGGCGAGGTTGTCGATTTTGGTGAGGA